TTTTCATTTTTGTCCTTAAAAAAACCCAAACAGACATACCTCAGGAATATGCATATATCAACAGAAATCCAGAAAGTTTAAATCAATACATCTTAAGAAATTACAAGTGTATGAAAATTTACAGGCTTCCTTAGAAGGGTATAGTTTGAACTGTGTCTTTTTTTTCCCCTAAAATAGGCAAATGACACTCTGTTTCTAAAGACCTGCTTCTTGTCTCCAACGGCTAAAAGTAGCAGGGATTTAGAGAAGTTTCTCCAGGTACAGGGAAAATTGCAGAATTCAGATCTTTATCTGACGCTTTTGGGTGGTATCACATCTAACTGTAAATTGAATCTTCCTTTTTTTGTTGTTTTTGCACATGTCCTCATTCTGCCACCAAAAGAGGAAGTCCTGGGGCTTTTTTTTCAGCTCTATAAAAGCTTCACATGCTTCCATTAACATGTAAAACATTTGCTCTTTTGTCACTAGCTTCTTCTATGTCAAGCACTAGAAATCCTGCAATAACTGTGCAGAAGAACTGAAGAGGCAGGGCCTATTTTTGACAGTAACTGGAAACTGCTGTTGCAATAAATTACTTCATTACTTGTGAGCTCTGTATAGATTTTTGTCTATGCAGTTCTCATATTTTTGTTACTGTTTCTATGTTACTATCTGCAATGGAGTACCATTAAACCAGGAGAATTACCGTATACCAAGCTTCCAATTAAATTTCAGATACTTAATTGAAAGGATCCAAATAATGCCTTGGGAAACCAAATAGTCATTCTTCCCACCTCATTCAAGAGGTATGTTCTTGAGCTATTTCTTTCCTGTTACCTAAATCAGCTATTTAAATATCCTCCAGCAGAAGGAATGAAAGTAAGTTATATGCTGTAATAGTAAAACATAATTGAAAGAACAAGCATGCTAGTATTATTATAGTGATCATATGTTCACATGTGTGTAAGTAAATGACCTTTTGCTTTCAAAATTTTAATGGGCTTATTTTTTTCACTGAATGAAAATTTGAAGTTTAATATTTGCTCTTTAAAGAATTTATAGGCTTTTTACTGCTTTGCAGTCTTAAGTGCAGTTTCTGCTTGTTTTCTTTTAGAAAGGTTGGCAATTTAAAGTTTTGCCTTGTTTTAGCATGTGCTCCTGGGTACTGGGCTGTTCACAAGCATGGAACTGCCATGTGGTATTTACCCCAGGGGGACAATTTGGTTATATTCACCATTTGGAATCACTGAAACAACAGGCTGCATGAGTCAGTGAACAGATACATTAGCATTTGGCTAATTTGGTTCAGTGTTTTCTGTTCTTGTGATGTCCTCAAACAACACCTATAGCAGGACTGGGGGAATTTTTATAGTTCATTAAACTATTTGATTAGCATCTGTCGTTTGAGATACCTTTCTTAAGGAACACTATTTATAAGAACTTTTTTCCCTTACTTTTTTTAATTGCTTCCTGATAATTATTTTAGTTCTCATTTGTCATTGAAAACTATCCTTGGAATTTAAAATTGGCAACAATCTTACAAGGACTTGGGATTGTAGAAATGTTTTTTAGACTTGGAACTAAGTGCAAAGGCAAATTTTAATTCATGACAGTACATCATCTTTATGTCAAGTGTAGCAGAGATATTCTGAACTCAGGCCTCACACAGGAGATTTAGGTGAATGTTTCTTAGTGATTATTGAAAGCCCTGTAAAGAAAGTATCAGCATGACTGTCTCTCATGTTTTCAGACTTTCTTCTAGTCCACTTTATTAAGATATTTTTTTCCCTCACAAGACTTTCCCTCCTGGTCTCCAACCCCAGTTACCACTGAAACTTGGTATCCCAGACACCAGTACTGCAGTGCTACTATCTTAATCCTTAGCCATCCATGCCTATGGCTGGTAGCCCTTTTCCTGACCTGTGCTGCTGTCTTACCTCACTTTGCATAATCTACTGGAGTTGTGATACGAATTCACCCTCAAACCCAGATGTCTTTGACAACTATGCCAATTCCTGTAACAAATTGTGTACAGAATCTACATGTGTGAACCCAGGTAAGCATTGCACTAGTGTGGAGCATGCCAATATGAAATGTATGCTCTACATAAAACAAGGTAAATTTAATTTACAACATTTGTCGTCAACAAACTGTAACTGTAGTTAGCTTCTTTCTGCTGAAAAGATCACACTGTGAAATTGTTGTTCTGTTAAAAAAATAAATTAAAAATGCTGAATTTATTGCTTGGAAGAGGGACTTTGAACTCAACTGTCATCCCTGAGGGAGAAGTATCTTTAAAGGCTGATAAAAAGAGGGAACTCCGAATTACTGTTGTCACTAGCATAGCATGAAAGAAGAGGGTATTAAATTTGTGTACTGTCCCTTAATTTTAGATTAGCATATCTTCTGCTCCCATTGTTTGAAGACAAGATATTGTGCTACCTCTTTTTAAATCTAAACCACAGTATGGATAATTAGGGAAAAAATATTTTTCACTAGCAAACAAATTAAACAAGGTTAACAAATTGAAAGCAAAACTGAACTGGACTGAAATGCATCTGGTGGGCCAGTAGATGGTGCAAAATGCTTGCCTGTGAAAGGAAATCGTGGAGGTTCACCAGCAGTACAGTCCAATCCTGTCAATTCTGAGAGAGTAAAATGTGCTGTTAAAGTACTTGTGGGTTCTAAAAATTGTTTTGCTGATAAGGAGGTATTCTTTTATGGAATGTGGTTTTGGTATAATCATTGATAGAATGAAGGAAACAGGAGGAAACTTTACAACAAGTTTCAATGTGTGAATTTTTTCAGTTGATAATTTCTTTTTATATGGCTGTTAAAATGGGTGTAGATAATTTCACAGCTGTTGTTTGAACTGTAGAGGTTCAATCACCTCTTTCTGTCAAAGAGGTGATTATAATTCCTCATCAGATCTCAAGATGGTACCGGAGATGTGAAATTTATTACCTGATGCTACTGGTGCAAGCTTGGGCTTTTTCTGGTGATATATTGCTCTCCACTGCAGAGCTGACTACTCAGTTCAAAATGATGAACCATGTGCATGAAGGAGGATGGGGTAGGAGCAGGGGCAGCCCAAGCAGCTTCTGCTAAGGGGTCAAGAGATAGGTGACTAAGTATAACAAATTGCTAGGAATTGTTTACCAAAAAAAAAAAGTTAAAAAAGGAAAAAAGAAAAAATCAAATTGTTCCTTTCAGGTAGCTGGACTAGATCCACAGCTCTCCCCAGCTGCTGGCACACAAGCCCACAAGGTTTGTATCCCCACTCCAGCTGTTGATCAGACCTCCTTGTGCATGTAGGCCTGTCCAATGGCAGGTGCAGGCCTGTGATTGTCCCCAGTAGCTGACACACTATTGATCTCTGGAGTGTCTAGTGCTCCATTAAGGTCCCTGAATTTACCTACTTGCAGGGCCTGGTGTATTTTAGGAATTCACCTTCTGATTTTCCAGTCTATTTGATACCTTACTCCCAGACCTCTCGTCCTACTTGTTGGCTAGACTAGCCTGAGGTTTGAGGGTGAATTACAAGCATCTGCATACTGATGCATGACACTGAAAATCTTGGAAGAAGTGTACATTTTTCATTCTTTGTAGTTTCCAGTTGAGTTGACCAAGTAGGAAAACAAGCTGAAAGGATACCACTGAGTTCTGAGAAAAATTTGTCACAGTAAATAGTCTATTCTCAGTTTATTGTAATGGCATTGGGCAGTACATTTGTCTGTCTTCTATTAAGGTGCATAACATTAAAAAATCTATTTTTTGGGTGCTGTGTGCATTATGAAAATAGCTCACATTTTCCATAATCAATTATTGCATACTATTTTACACATTTATTTTCCAATGGCTAAAAAAGGTGGGAGAAAAAGAAGAATTTGTTGATTTGTAGCCTTTGCTACTTCAGAAAAGGAAATAGAAGTGAAAATAACTGCCTCTCAGACCAGGATGTCCAGGAGTATTACGGTGTTCTCCTCCCTGACATAAATGTTGAACACCTAGGAAAAAAAAACAACTTGGAGAGCATGGGGAAAGTAGATCAGTATTCGATTTTAGGAAGACCCTGAAGGCCACTACTGAAAAACAAGTTATTAGTCATCGTATTTACATCTGTGATGCCAGAGTACTGCTTCCTTTTTATAGTGTTATTAAGCTCCCACAGGCAAGATAGTTGCAGTGATTCCATGTTACTATATATGAAATCAGTGCCACAGCAGCAGTACCAGTTTAGGAAACGGGCAATTCTGCTTTTAAAATGCTCACTAAAAATGGCATAAACGTAAACCCATCCTGTGCTGCTGGGTCCTTCCACCTGTGCCCTTCCTGCATGTTTTGCTGTATTTTCGCAGTTTTTATAACTAGTAGGTGTGAAGTGTGTGAAGTACATGGACATTTCACAGAAGTGTCTCTTCCTTATCCCTTGTATAATGCAATTGAAACACTACAAGTCAAGGGTAGAAATCTTTAAATAGACGGACTAGCGAAATGCAGGTACTGGATACAATGTAACAGCTCAGTAGCAGTTTAATATTTAAAAGTATCCTTTTGTGAAACCATGAGATTGTGGTGTTGGAGAGCTGGGTAATGGTGGGCTAATTATAACTTCATGAAAGTAACTTTTTACTTTCGAAGTAAAACAGTAAATAGTATTTGAATGCAGCAGAAACTGTTGTTTTTTCAAATCGTTTAACTCTGTGACAATTTATGTTGAGTTTTAGGGAAAAGCTCCTAATATGAGAAGCTGTGGTTCCTCAGCTGTAACCACTGAGGATAGTTATGCTGAAAGGCTAGGATGTAGTGGAAATAATTGCTTTATCCTTGTGTATAACTAGGCAAAGCAAAAAAAACGTGTGTTTTCAATTGCTCAGATTAGCACTCTGTATGTTCCTTCTTCCTTGATTCCCTGCAGTGGGCTTATTGGCCTCCCACCTCATAATTTCTTTAGTTTCTTTAAAAAGTTACATTAAATTGTAAGTTATGCTGGTTACAGTGTGTTCTTAATTTTTTTCCAGACAGGACAACAGTATAGACTCAACTTCTTCTCTGAGAGAAGACAGCAAACTGGAAGGTCAGGAATCAAAACAAGGTATGCAGTAGAGAAAGCTGAAATTTCATTTTCTCAGTGTTGCTCAGTGACTGATTCCAGGTTATGCACAGCTCTCTTGTGAATAGTAGCTGCAATCACAAAGAAGTATTCTCTTAGAAATAAGCTGATGTAGGGTTACAACTTCTGCCCCGAGTCCAATTACAGAAAGGTTGATGGGAACATTGAAGAAGACATTGTAGGAACTTTGGCTTCTTAAGTCTGTAGGAGTGGAGAGTTTTTTATGGGTAGAAACAAATTGCAACTTTTCAAAATTTGCTAGTTTGGCTTCTGGATATGAGTAAAGTTCTTACAATGGTCATTTGGCTCTTCATATCTCGTTTTTCAGCTGACGATGGGCTTCAGTCATTAAAGTTTATTGATGTGTAGGTGATTGCTAATACTGCTATTACTATTTGCTGAATTCGAGTGTCAGTTTTACTTTACATTGAAATGATCGTATGAGTCTACAGTACTTTGTTTTTGCATTCATAGAAATCCATTATAATAATTGTTTGCCAAAGGACTGCTTGTAATTTAGTCACTTTTTTCAGTCTTGATATATGATACCTTTCCTTGTTTGATTGTGTAGAGCCAAGGTCCAACAAAATGGTGCTTGACACCCACCACTCCTGTTAACTGGCATATTTTACTTGAAATCAGTGCCAATAGAAGTACACACTCAAGTCTTTGAACCACTGAGGATGAACGTTTTGTCTTCTCTACTTTCTCTTTTTAAATGCAAAATTATAGTGGGTGAGACATTCAGTGATTGGCAGAATAGAAGATGCAAAGGCAAGTAAGTTAGTGGTGCACATTTGAGTACTTCCTACACAAGGAAATAGTATTTTTAACCTGCAGCAGTATTTATTTTATTTCAGTCATTAAATCAGCACTGAATAATAACTGCTTGTATTAGTTTGTGCATGAAGCACTAGAACTGTAGGTGTTTCTGTTTCAGTATGTTTATTTTCATTTGGACTAGCTGTATGCAAGACATCAGAAATAGCTTTTCCAATCAGAGAATGTTGCAAATTCTTCTAAGCTTGATTTCTCTTCTGCACAAATGTAACATTATTTGTGTCTTGCAACTTCCTTTTTACAATTTAGAATGCTTTTCTAAGAGATGTCTTTTGTATTTACTTTGTGAAATGTGTTCTTTTCTGAAGTAATTAGTGGCAGGAGTTAAATGGAGAAGGAAAGAGTCATAATAAAAGCATCAAAACTTTTAGGAGTGAGTTGCTATGACTTTGTGAGGAATCCTTTAAATGTTGCTTGCTGTACTAAATGGAGGGATCTTAGAACTGATAGATTTCCTGCAGATTTCTTCCACTTTTGTGTTATCAGAGGGAATTGATGATGGTTGCGGGTGATTGCATAGGTGTTTTTTATGACTTAATCAACCAAAGTGTCATGATGGCTTTGGACAATAACAGTGGCTCCACTCAAGCTGTTAGCTTTAAAGAGCTGCTAAGAATATCAATGTAAGTTAAAAAGTATAACTCCAATTGCTCTGCTGTGCTGCAGCCTGAGATGCTATGGGAAGAAAAGGATAGAATGAGAGGATAAGCAGAAGCGGATAAAATAAAATTTAAAAATGAAATTAAGTGTGTTAAAGTGAATTTTGTAACGTAGATGAAGGAAAAAGTAGAAATTATCAAAATGAAAAAGATAATAAGAAATGCCAGCCACGATCTTTACTACTGAGTAAAAGTACAGCTGCAAAAGAGGGAAATAAAGCCCATTATCTCCTTAAACATCTGTAGGCTAATAAGCTTGTAGGAACACTGTATTATACAGTAGTAGAGGTTCCAAATTCTGAATAGAACACATAGTTGTTCTGCCCACCTTCCTCATCCTTATGAAGTCTGGGACAATCACGAAGGACTTAATGTTTTGTTTCTTCTTAATTAATGTGGCCATTTAATTCCAAAAAGAATCCTATGGTGGGCTGAGCCCAGCCAGCAGTGGGCACATACCAATCTCTCAATTACTTGTTTCTCAGTAGGAGATGATCAGAAAAGTAAAATGAGAAAAACTTAACAAGAAAGTTTAACAAGTGAAATAAGAGCTGTGCACTGAAACAAAGCAAAATTAGATATTTTTTCACAACCTCCCACTGACAGATTTTTAGCCACTTCCTAGAAAGCAGAGCCTCAGCATAACAGTTACTTGAGAAGACAAATGCCATAACACTGAACATCTCTCTTTCCTCCTTCTTTCCTCCTTCTTTCCTCCTTCTTTCCTCCTTCTTTCCTCCTTCTTTCCTCCTTCTTTCCTCCTTCTTTCCTCCTTCTTTCCTCAAGAGCACAATGTCATATGGAAGAGGATATCCCTTTGGTCAATTTGTCTCAGCTGTCCTGTCTGTGTATCCCTCCCAGCTTCTTGCACAGCCCCACTCTACTCTCTGTGGGGTCATAGTCAGAAACAGGGAAAGACCTGAGGCTGTGCAAACCCTGTTCAGCACTAGCCAAACTGGTGTGTTATCAACACTGTTTCAGAAAAAAAGTCCAAAAACAGCAACATGGAGTCTGCTGTGAAGAAAATTAACCAGCCAGATTCAGTACAAAGTCAGTTTAATTTTGGCAGTGAATTAGGATGAGTATCCTCAGAAGTTAACTTTTAGCCTTTTGAACTATGATCCATTGATGCACCTATCTTTCTGATCCCTGGTTGATGAGCATGTTAGGTAAATGCTGACTGATAAAATGCAGCAAGGCAGCAGAATTTCTGTTTCTTTATCCCGTTGATTCCCATTGCTTCTGATCTTTCACGTACTTTGTGTCTTGCAAAGTCAAGTTGAAAAGATAATATTCAAAGGTAACTCAGTAGTATGTGAAATGCTGCATCTGAAACTGAAATATTAATCTTGAAGTTACTGTCACAGTAGGAACAGGTCAAGACTACTTAGGATCAAAAGAAGACCCTGGTGTATTCATCTTATGAGTACTTTTTATATACACTACTGTGAGGAGGATTTTTTTTGTACCTTTGTTTATATTTTAGGGTTTCAGATTTTGTTGCTTCAAAATTGTGGTTTATCTTCCAAAAAACAAAGACCAAAAGTTATCTGTAAACTTCTTTTTGTGTCTTATCACACATTTGCATGAGCTGAATTTGCTTTCCTCTAAGCTTTGATTGGAACGTAGGACATGCCTCATACATTAGCTGTGTGTTTTCCCAAATATACTGTATTTACCAGTATTATGGCCAGTTTTTGTAATCCAGTAAACCCGTGTTACGAGGTACTAGATTAATGACTATTTAAGATCCTAAATCAGGAGTACATTCTCAGGGTAAATGTGCAGTATTCTTAAATCTGAACTTAAATGCTGTAACAAATCATAGCCTGACATGGAGTGATCAGGACGGGGTATCTGAATATCTTTTTTGAAGTATCTATAGTAAAAAAAATCTTTAATCCTGAATCAGTAAAACCCTTGGACTGATATTTTAAAATGTATCATTTATAAAACCATTTTGAGATATTTTGGTGCTTCTTTCCTTCCTTCCTTTGTTTTTTAAGCAGAGAAATTGCATTTATAGCTTTTCAAGTAGCCAGTATTGATTTTTTTTTTCCTCACACCCACATGATGGCAGGAATGTTGTAAACCCCAAGAAAAATAGATCTTTCCTAAGGTTTTTGGGCACTTTTCATGGATTAAAACCAAATGCAGGTGGGTACCTAAAGGCATATTAAAATGTTTAAAAAAAGGGTAATATTTTTCTAAAGCCTTATTTGTTTCTCCTGTGCAAGTGATAAAAATGGTATTACCAAAAGAAGTCTTTATATATATTAAGACTTCCTATATTATAAAGATTTATTTATTATTAAGTCTTTAAAATAAGTAACTTTACCATCATGTGAATATACATTATTTATTTTAAGAAGGAACCAATCCTACTGTAAGTTTCCACAGATCCGAAGGTTGGTAAAGGAGTAATAACTTCTGAGGCTGAAGTGTCAAAAGCAATAGTCTCTCTGTATCTGGATTGTGAGAACATTTACTGAGGTTCTTTTAGATCTTTGCTTTTGTTTTATTGCACTGCCTCTTCTAAGCACATTTTTAAAAACAGACTTCAACTTTCAACCACCATTAAAAGCCAAAGCCCCAAATTCCTCCATGTTTTTATCAAGTTAAATACATCTGGAATACTTTTGATTCTGAATAGTTGCACTATAAGTGGATTTTCTATTAATTTTTAGTGCTGTGCCTGACTACAGTGTTCCACTCCTCTTGAAATACATAAAATAGTTGAGAATAAGTTTTGCAATTGCATTTTGAAAATTAAGTTTACTTAAGAAATAATAAACAATAATCAATTTTGCACTGCAGAAGCTTTCTTGTGATATGACGTTTTATTTAGGAAAATAGGTCATGTAACTTCATAGGATAGAATAAATTTTTCTGGTACTGCTGCTTTGCTATACAGCATATTCTTTTAAATTGGCATAAAATGCATTAGCAATTGTATACATTAGATCAGCCTTAAAAGTTGAAGGAGAAAAAGAATAGGAATTGGTTGTTTTATAATCATAGATCTTTTTACCCCTCTCGTAATCTGTAGAGCAGTACTTTAAGCAGAAATGGTTTTGTAAATTGAAATAAAAACAGTTCTATTAGGCAACTTTGTGATTGCTGTGTTTGTGTTACAGGCAAGGGAGAAGACAGTGATGTCCTCAGCATAAATGCAGATGCATATGATAGTGACATAGAAGGCCCATGCAATGAAGAAGATGGCCCAGATGTGCAAGACAACACTGTCAGGAGTGGAGCTGGCCAGATAGATGACCTTCAGAAGGACATTGAGAAAAGTGTGAATGAGATACTGGGGTTGGCAGAGTCCAGCCCAAAGGAGCCCAAAGCGTCGAACTTAGCTGTTCCTCCGTCAGAAGATGTTCAGCCATCAGCACAACAGCTGGAGCTTCTGGAGCTTGAGATGAGGGCCAGAGCTATTAAGGCCCTGATGAAAGCTGGTGATGTAAAAAAACAGCCCTGAGGTTGCTTAGGTTTAATTTTCAGTATTTGTTTTGAAGAAGGTGACATCTGTTCTCTTCAGTGCTATTGTGTATTTGGGTTGAGTATGACATTCCTCATTCAGACTGTATTGTGTCTCCTGACCTGTGATCCATTGGTTTTGTTGCCTTTAGTGTGCTGCTTCCATGCCGTACCTAAGCAGAGGTTGGTGCTTCCCTGAGATGAGGTGTCCTTTTGCTGGGTCATTTCCTCAAGGAGTCACACAATGTATGCCAGGAACCTGGTGCCTTCCAGAAAGGTTGTTGTATCAGCTTGGAGTCATAGAATGGACTGCTTGTTTCTCCTTGGGACCCATCTCGTCATAATGCTGGTATTCTAGTCGAGTGATAATGCATTTAAAAGAATACGTAATTTCTTGAAATTTGAATTCCTAAAGGGAAGGATTTTTACCTTTCAAATAAATAGTTGAACATGTTATTTTCAGAGTTATGAAAGTGCCTGAAAGAGACAGAGCCTGTCATGCAGTTTTTCACTCTTGTCCACTGTTTGTCTTCTGTGTTATAGCTGAAATAAAGAAAACAGGTTTTTTTCCTGACTATAAAGCTTTTTTTTGGAATATTTGGCATAATATTTAGCAATCAAACAATTGAGAAGACCTTGAGCTTTTAACATTCAACTGATGTAGTCATTTCATTTACCCTTTAAGTAGGAAAATCCATCTAATTTTGGTATAAATGGCTTTTTAGAAAAGACATTTAATTTATTTATGAGGTTTTAAAATAAAAATTCTATTTTTATCCATTTCAAGGGTATTTCTTTACAAGTAAATTGAATTTTAGGATTAATTTTCATGCTGTAATATCTTACAACAATTAAAATAATTTTAATTTTTTTAGAATTAGTGCTGGTTTTGTGTCTTCCTGCTAATCAAATGCATATTAAAATATCTGTGTGGTGGTTCACACATGCACACATCAATTTTTTTTTAAAGGTATGAAGTTTACAAATGTAGTCTCTGTTCAGTAAAATGATATATTGTATATTTTTACTCCTGATATTTCCTTGATTGATTCTTAAAAAGTAAATTACATACTTTGCGACAGTAGCATAGATAATTTCTACGTGCTATTTTGTAATATTACTGCAAACCTTGTACTATTCAAATATTATGTCTTGAATTCTCTTTCAAGGTTTACAATTTTCTTTTTCTTCCTCCTTTTTATCCCTTTGCTTCTTTCCCTTTATTCTCTATTTTCCCTTTTTTCCTGTTTCTTTTTAAACCCCTTTCTTTTTCTCTATTGGTAATCAAGTGCATTGTCTTCAGTAGAAACCTTCTTGTACATTTCTTAAAGTATGATTGATTTCCTCTAGAATCAACAGTATTATAAAATGTTAGTATAGTGAAAATTTGATTATAAACGAAATCCTTTATTCACCTGAGAAAATTTCAATGTGCATTCCCTAAGTGATGGCAGTGACCTGAGTAAAGTATAACTGACTGTAAAGTTATCCACAGCACCAACATTTTTCTATTGTTTTTTAGCAAATGGAGAGTGAAAGTAAGAAAAAAAAATATATATACAATTCAAAAGGTAACTTTACTGTATGAGAATCTGTGTGTGTTGTCTTTGGTTAATTTCATTTAGCTGTTTGCTGAACTTGCATTTTGTTTGAGTCCAGAGAGACAAAAAAGTAATTAGAAAAGAAAATAATGTGTTCTTATTTGTAAAGTCAGGCTTGTGGAGCTATGTCAGAGTTCAAAAATATGTTTTGCTGCTGCTATACTTAAATCCTTAAGGCACTGAATACCTCACTTTGCCTGCTCTGGAAACGAAAAAGCTTGCCTGCAAGGACAGAAGAAGTGTCACCAGAAGAAGTGATACAGCCACATGTATGAAGTCCCTTCAGTGATGCTATAGATCAACACATTTGCAGTTATTTGGCAACTAGCATACTGCTAGCAGTAATGATAAACTAGAGTGTAGTTGCCTTCTGCTGCCTACTCTCTAGAGGTATATGACATTTAGTTCTGAACTGACATTCGGTTTCCTATTGGTTTCCCAGGTCACTTCTAAAAGTTTGTTTTGTAGTGTGTTGAACTGTTAAAGGTTATTATTTCAAGGTCTGTATCAAGAAGTTGCATATGCTAACTTTAATATGTAGGATGACAGAGAGGAAACAGGTTTACTATGCATATGACAGAAGATTTGTAATTACAGCCTAATTAAATTTGAAATTAAAAGATGAGAAGGATTCCAAGAAAATTAAATTAAGCTGTTTACAAAAATAATATAAAATAAAAACATATGAGATACTTAATGTGATTGATTACACAAATGCTAATTCATTTTTAGGATATTGTACTATTGCTGCTTAGCAACAGTACAAAAGATCAGCTAAATTACATGGTTCTTGCATTGAGTAATATCACTGAACAGTTAAAAGAATCTAGTATATTTAAAATATTTATTATACAGCTGCTTATTACACTTTTAAATATGTCTGTAATTTCCCCCCCCAAAAAATAAATTTATTATTTCACTTGGAAGAAGAGGCAATTTGTATGTAAAATGAAGTAATGAATTATGTACAAACCTTAAAATAATATTACTGGGTTTTGGTCAACCATTTTGACAGGAAAAAATGTTATACGCTGGGTATTGGTCAGCATGAAAAAGATCTTGATCATATTCTAGACTGCAACAATAGTTTCTAATGAATTTTGGCTGTCCTCATAGATGAAGCACAGTACTTTTTTGAGGAGGAAGAGGTTGGTTATGTTTGCATTAGGTAAATAAAAAGGCATGACTCCACAGAAAGCCAAAAGTATTTATTTCTGTTTAGGGGCTTTGCTGTTTTGGTGATTTCATAGAGAATAATAATTAGACTTCAAGATGCAAGTTTTGAGAGACAAATCACAAGCATTACCTCAGTAAATAATAAGTTCCATTTGTAGCACTCTTTTCATTACTGTATTTGGTCTCAAATATATTTTGCCTGAGAGAGTTGGTGCTGTAACTTCTTTTTAAGCTATTTTATAAAATATGTTCTTTGCTGTTTAAAATTATTTTAATTATTAATTGTAGTAAATGGAAGTTTTGATCACTGATCAACTTCAGGTTTCTTCTAAGTGGTAGAAGGTAGCACATAGGGAATCAGTCAGTCTGTGTAGGTGATGTAGGATGCTGCTGTTCTAAGTGGATGCTGTCAAAATGCCACATTAAACATGAGAAGTTTGGCACTGCCTTGTGAATCACCAAGTGCATCAGCGGGGTAGCACTTTCCTGCAGCCCTGTCTGTTTGAGGGAGCGTGGTTTCAAAAACAACAGCCACTTCGGGGGAACCTTGTAATGGGACAAAATATCTTCTCACCAGCTGATTCCTTACAAGGTCATAGCCTTAAAGATTTTAAATGATTGCTTGGTTATTACTACTATTTTTTACATATTAGTTTACAAAAGCAGTTACCCTAATTAAGTAATTTTTTTTTTTTTTTTCATCTGTGGATAAAGCTTGCCAGTGGTTTTCTAAAAGCAGCAACTGAAAAAAGGTTTTGTGTGCATGAGTGCATACATAATAAGCTGTTGTGTTTCACATGCCCATCTTAAAACTATAAGCACTGATTTAGCTTTATGAGATCACTGATGCTGGTAAATATGCCCTTTTCACAGAAGATAATTGAAGATTAATTGTGAAATAAGCCTTTTAGTCAGGAAGGGAGATGAGGTGGTTAGTTGATGCAGAAACATAAAGAATAACATAACTGTAGGAGCATAGACACCAAATTAAAAACTGATTATGAAGTCCTACAACTTAGTTCCAGTAATATAAACCTTCACATTTATTGCTAAGTTAATCTACAGCATATATACATATAGAAAAATGTTTGTTCACCTTATTTATGGCCAAATATAAATGCTAAACTACTAGGTTTTTTTGGTTTTGGAGGGGTCAAGTCTCAGGTTACGTGGGCCTTTCTTGGCATTAATATTAAAATATGTAAACAGAATATATAAAAGCGTGAAGAAAAATCTGAGGCTTTTAAGAAGGTTTAGCCAGGTACCATTTAGTCAGTCTGACTCTGTAGTGGAACAGGGAAAAGTTTAAATCTAAGTGTTTTATGTTTATTACATTATACAGCACAAGCCATCATCTAAAAAACCCTTCAACCCGTCCTCCCCCCAAAAAAACCAAAACAAACCCAAACCCAAAACAACCCCAAAATTGAATGTTTATATATTCATTCAGTGCCTCATTGTTTTCTTAAACATTTGGGAAGATGTAGGGTTTTTTCCGTGCGATCTGTTGATTATTTTCAATCTCAGAATTGAATTTTTTTTTTTATCTAATGGTTTTGCAAAGTTGTTCTAGATGAAGATGTAATGCTGTGAATTGTCTAATCTACAGTCTTGCATTCCATCTTGCATTTTCAGACTCCAGTCAATCTTACTTTGCTTGAAAATTCTGAGCTTTACTTCACTGGAATACTGGGTGCAGTTCTGCATGATTGTAGTGAAGGCATAGTTGTTGGGAGTGGAATAGATGCAGACAAACTCTTCTGAGATCACCAGAGGAAAGCAGGACATGAGACATGACTAGAAAAGCTTGTCTAAGCATGTTGAAACTAGCCTTAAAGGCAGGCAGAAATAAAATACTGGAAAAGACATTTAAGCTGAATATGAATGCTGGTGAGGAACTATGCATACATTTTGGTTAGGTTGCTTGTTCCCAGGCTGCCTCTTTGTCTCCTACCTCCTGTACCACTGTTGTACAGTTAGTGTTTATATGGATATCAGGAAGCTCATTCTAGCGGGGAATCCCGCCCATTTGCTTTTCCTAACCTGGAGCAGCATCATGATTGAATTTACTGTGTTGGCACAACAGAATGAGAGGGGAAATCCAACTGCTGAAAGTGGTGCAGAATTATTTAACATAAGTGATACCCCAGGTTATTCCAGTCCTTAAGATGTGAGCCATCAGAATTAAGGTCCATGATTTAATTCCCTCTTTTTGAAATTATATAGACCTTCACTCATAAATGCTAGCTGAACTGCTCCAAATGTAAACTATTTTAGCTATTAAATTTTTCAATCTACATATGTGATTATTGGCTGTGCTTTTTTTGTGGTTTTATTTTTTTTTGTTGTTGTTGGTTGGTTGTTTTGTTTAAGTGAAGTCAGTGTAATTGTTACCATGTATAGTCTGGTTAAAGTTAGAGCCTCATAATTCCATGTGAATTAAACTCTTGGATTGCATCCACACTAGGGGGCTGTGTTGCATTAACAATGTTTCAAAGAGTGATGTACTAAGAGCAGAACCCAAACTGTAAAAACAATTTGTAAGCTGTACTTTTCCCTACATAAAAAAGTGGATGGGAGCAGAAAGTAAAGGGGAATGACTTGCAAGTTAGACAAATACAAGGAAGGAGCAAGGAAATTTTATTATCTGTGTACTTAGATGAAAAGTTGAAAAGGTGAAGTTTAGGGATGAAGTGATGCTGTCATTGTCATGAGATGAGTGGGAAGGCTGAGACTGGAACCCTGGTTACTTCAGTGCTGATGTGGTGCCTCAGAAGTGGGATGCATAACCCAGTTTGCTGGAGCTGGGGACAGGTAGGTTGCTCTTCATCAAGATTTAACAACTGTAGCGTTTTCTTTTCCATAAAGGGATTCTTCTATACACTGCATATCCCAGTGCTTATGCTTTATTCTCCTATTTCTTTGACTGCACCACTTCCTGTGTCATTACAGGTTGTTACAAATACAGGCATTTCTTAAGCTATTTTTTTTAGGAAGCCACCT